GGGAAGAAATTTAAAAACGATATATTGACGATAATATGCGATATTTATCGTCATCGTCTCCTTGCCGTTTGGATTGCCGAGCGATAACAATCAACGACATGTGGAATCAGTTGAGTCAGAGATTGATGACTCGTTTACAACAACACAACCCGTTTATTAAACACGAAAGAAGCTTACAAAATTTCCGTGATCTTGGAAGTTCTACTTCGGCTGCGGCCTCGGGGTCTTTCTCTCCTTTCCAAGATTGTCCCATTGGGAATGAGTGTCCTTGGTTCGTGAATGACCAATTCCATCGACGTCTCCGGACGAAGAGGTCGACTTCCGTTGATGGAAAGATGTCGATCCGAGGTCGGGAGATGGAGACGAAGATGGGTTCGAGACACACACACTACATTAGATCCGTCACTTGGGACTTTCGGGAGAAAAAGCCCCCGCGTCCTTGAATGTCCGGGGTTTTATCCGTTCCCTCCGATTCTACTTTCCGATTGGTCTCTCCTTGTCACCTGATGACAATTCGAAACCTTTCGGTGGCGCGGGAGAGGTCAAAATCGAAGTTTAATTCTATCTCCAATCGGAGATAGTCGATCTTCGATTTTCCATTGTTCTATTGTTTAAAAGTTCGCGTCGTTTTCAGAAAAAAAAACTATTTCCAACTTCTATTTTTTTCTAAAAAAAAAGATAATTTTGCCTTTAAAAATAAATGATTTTAACGCAAATTTTTAGTGAGGTTCGGACCTGTCCAGAGCCTCACAATCCCATTATAAAAGTAATATTTGTGATAAATAAATGTACCTTAATCATACATATATTTTTTTTTCATTCTATATGAACTGTTCCTATTGGTACTGTGAGGAGTGCAGTGCTAACCAGTACGGCTGTTTTCAATCGACAAATTAGACAGATACTTAATTAAGATGTTGTCGAGATCTTCCAAGTTACTTCCTTGCATGCATCACTGGTATAAATTAGGGGCAACCAAGGGGGCGCCATAATAGGATCTCGCTCCATCCTAAAACTTACCTCGGGCCGGCACTGCCTATAGAGCTATTTTACTTTTATCGATTAATTTTATGCTTAAAAGGATAAAATTGCATAGAAACGAATGATTTTTCAAAACATTATTCATTATAACAAAAGCTCAAATTTATGCAAATTAAAACTTTTACAGCGATTTTGCTAACGGCGCGGCGCACAGTGGGTCGTGAGACGATTCTAGGAGGACAAAAGTCAAAAAATACATAACTGATAATGACCGTTACATATTTATGTATTAATAAAAAACATTCCAGTGAGTCAATTGCTACCGATAATTTTTAAAATACGCCCCGTGACTTTGCTAAGCAACGAATAAAAAGCATCAGTTTTATATCTGGTTGGAATCATAACGTTAGTGTCGTGTTCGGACTTATTTCGAGTAGATATTTCGCTGGCTGTTTTAAGTGTTTTTATCCAATATTAAGTCGAATACTAATCGCCAAAGTATGTATTTTAATATGTATAATTCATTAATAATAGTCAATGAGGGGATTTTATATANAAAGTGATGTAGAGATACCACGCGCTTGTATATCGATGACGTAATAAACGTAACTGAGGAGCGAACGAAAAGAATCAAGTCGAATTAATTAAGTCGGAAAAAAAGAAAGTGTGCGTTATAATCGAGAATATGCGACTATTGTATTAATCTTTAAAATATTGGTATTAAATCTGTCTTACAAAATCACGACGACTCCCGTAAATCGAGTTATCCGATAAGAATAAAATACAACACTAATATAGTCCTATCGCTGAAAAAATTCGCTTATTTTTGCTCACCTCGAGTTTTGCTTAGTAGAAATGGCTAAAAAGTGCGCAAAATACGTACGGAAATACGGTATTACGACACTACCTGTATTGGACGACCACCTGTCTAGAAGACCACTTTTTGAAGAAACCGTAGGTGGTCGCCATAGACAGGTTTTACTGTATATATATTAATAAATGTAAAAAGAAAAAAAGATTATTTTGTTTGTGCAAAATAAAATAATTTCGGTCGATACTATAGCCACGATTATTTCTTTCAAAAACGGAAAATTTTCGGTAGCCATCGACAAAAATTCAACCGGGACGACACGCAACAGAAATTTCGACATTGGATAGGTTAATTGACACGATTCAAGCTCCGAATGAGCGGGTCGGCGACCCCTTGTGCGAACAAAAAAGTCAAAAGTCAAAGGAACCATGCCCCTACGCGCAACCCTTTACGAGATATAGCCCTATAAAGAATCGCCTACGTCATCCGGTGAACTCCGGTGAGTTCCGGCCAAATATTCTAAACACACATCGGCAAAGACTAAAGAAAACTGCCCACGTAAAAGGCCAAGAAAACAGATTGTACTGCACATTCACCTTTAACAGGGGCAAATGTTGATTATGGGTCGTGGCTTACGGCCCCTCTTCGGCCGACAAGCTCGCTATCGCTCGCGATCGGCTAGTACTACGCGCCGCTTTCGCGGCTTGTCCAAAAAGCCTAAGGAGGTGACCATCACTACTTAAGCTAATAGAAAACCGTTTGAAATCAGATTGTACACTCACCTTCAAGATCGTCTCCCGCCACGTCCTTTCTCTACCTGGCGACGCCTAGCCTATTCCTGATGTTGCGTAGGTGAGGACGCTGGTCCCCGCCTCGGCTAGTTCCTGGGGATCGATGACTAAGATGGTGTTGACGCCCGATGTTGTCTGAAAAATAACATAATCCAGGTTTCACATCCGCAAAGAAATTTCCTTTGGTCACGTGCACTATACACAAGGTTCACTACTCACTGGGCGGCCGCCATCCTGCACGGGAACATCGAAATACGGCTCGTCGGGCGGCAGACGGGCGCACCGATCGTCTGGGCCCGAGTACCAGGTAGACATCAACGATGTCCTCGATAAACAGCCGAATTTTGCCGATGTTGTTGGCAACTGGGACAGGAATCCGCACGGTGCCTGAAAATTACGACAAACATTGAATTAGTTTTGAAAAGTAGCAAAACGCTGCTCCGGGAATATTGGCTGTTAATTAATCTTTACTCGTTGATACTATGAATGGACTGTATACGAATTACGAAATCACAATAATTGCACAATAAAACTATCTTTATTGATTTAAACTCTCTTAAATCATTCAGGCAATACGGTTTGGATTCCTCTTGAATCCGGTATACTAAACAAGATGGCGACAACAGACGAGAACGACTCATCGAAAAGCGCGCGAAAAAACGCCCTCTCACAATAAAAATAAAACAAAAATGTTTTGAATAATAATAATAAATAATGGCAAATAATAGTTTACACACAACCACTACCACTACTACTACTACTACTACTACTACTATTAACTCGGGTGTTCAAATATCGATACAGATACCCGGAACTCCTGTAAAGGCGGGAATCAAGGAAAGGCTTACCTCCACACTTAGGGCATGGCGGAACGAAAACGGTTAGGTCCGAATGTGGCACGAGCCCACGAGATGGCAAAATTTCTGTGTTCGGTGGGGAGGTAACGAAGAAAGTAGAAAGATGTTAAATTTTCAAAAATGGCGGGAGACCATGAGATATCGCAAGAATACGGCGTATCGTTCGCTAGCACTAACATATCCTGGGTGCGAGGATATGACGGCGAATACGGCTTATATATAACCTCGGAGGCGGTGAAGCGGGTCACGTGACTCGCGGACGGAACCCCATTGGGCCCGCGGAGTGTGCTGCATCTCTATGGCTAAGGGAAGGCCACGTAGATGGGCTGTCATGCGCAGTGCCTTCCTTGAGCTCGCTTGTCTGAAAAATGAGTTCCGATCCCCTCATTCGGAGCTTGAATTGTGCCCTAGAAATTCTGAAATAAATATAAATCAATAAACTATAAAATTTAATGAAATAAACGAATGTCCATCGTAGCTCAACTCCTTCCAGTGTGGACGTCACTTATGGACATTAAATTACATTATTATACAGAAACTAAAGTATTACCTAAACTTGAAATGACCTTTTCCAGTTCCTTCAGTCAAATACCATCTTTCCTAACATTGCGGATGACGTAGACTACCGTGCCAACGCGAACGTAATGGCACGAAAATTAATTAAGAGACGACAGACGATAATGGAAAGCACGTTGCCAACCTTATGGGAGAAATTTATCGTATTTCATTTAAAATTATCTTACACTCTCTAGCCAGAAAAATATTATAAATGTATTTATAAAATATTCAGGGCAAAATATATTTTAAAACTTTTTTTTATAACTTTTTCCGCTTTGTGGGCACTAAGGGGGCCTCTTTTAGCAAGGGCAGGCTCACAATGAGACAGCCGGGTGGTAACCGGGAGCCCCGATATATTCGGACGGATCACCCCCGAAAAATTCCTGGGGATTTTTCGATTTGTCCGGATTCGATTCCGGGTCCCCTAGAGCGGTAGGCTGCCATCTTGACCGCTCGGCCATCCGCCCGTCAATAATGCCAACTTAAGGATTTGCTCGCTAAATTTAGGGAAAATCAGCAGGATGGGAAAATATAGTTTAGGGGGAAAATGTTTTTTCTTAATTTGTTTTTTGAGAGATTACAGGGCACAGCATCCAAGCCACCGTTGCTTAAGCTTGTTTTTGTCACGGAGTAGCACGTTGGATGGTGGATGCCAGTGGCGTGCCGAGACATTTGATGATACAGAAGCTGTGCCGGCCCTGAATAGAAACATTGGAAACGTTATACGATATTTTGGTGTGTAGCATCCTGTAGCTAAACCGCGTGAGGTTGATGCTCTGTAAAGCGCATGCGCGAATGCGTATAATCTGGCTCCTTTACACGATTTAAATATTTTCGTCGTGGAAGGTATCCCGAATTCGACAATACAGCGCTTCTATTGGGAATATGCGTATACGAATTTATATTTGAATATACAATACAATCTTATCATTGTTCTCACATGTAGTATAGAAATTTGTAATAAGATACATAATGCGGTTATAATAAAATATTAATTTTAATTAAATCAAAGTACGTTAAAATATGAAAATAATCGCACGATATGTACTGTATTTATATTTTAAAAAATACAAGGGAAGAGCTTCCGAGGACGGCATGTCACTGGTGGATGCATTTAAAAAAGTGCGGCATAAGCATCTCGTGGTTTAATACATCAGATACACGGGCCACTTGGTTTCATCACCAGGGGGCGGCCAATCAGAGAACATAGCCCACGAGACTGAAATCTCCATATGAACCCATGAAAAGACAAGACAAGACAATCTCGTGGTTTCAATGTGTCAGACGTCGTTAAATCAATCGACTTGATCACCTGAATTTACAATGCAAAATTTTCTCGATCTCTGGTGGTTGTTCTTAAGCGCGTGAATTTTTCAATGAGCTGGTGATACAAACAAAATTGATAATTGTTTATTAACTAACTGTTATTTCGGGAGTAAAACGTATTTCTAAAATTATTGTACTTGTTTTATATGGTTTTCTTTGTGTTTACACGCCGTTCGTGACGCACTTAAGACCCCCAGTAAGACAGGAATACAAACACTTACTCTGAATACTTTATTCAGGGTTATACTTGGACCGGACGATCTCCAGTCGCATACATTAAACAGGGCCGTCCATCTTGCACGTGCCGCTCTCTCTCTCTCTGGTGTTGCCAGTTCTTTCCGTAACAGTACTAACTCCCACTATCGTACGGTGCCTATGGTAATAATCGTACAAATACGATAATTATCTGAATGAAAGACACGTATTCCCAACAAGTTAGAATATACTACATTGAGTGGCTGTGACCATGCTTACACCGCTCTTGGTGGCAACGACGGGTGCTATCACTTTTACACAACGAGTTGGAATATTCTCGCTCGTTGCCTTTACACAAAACAAATGCCACGTCCCATTGACTAAAAGAAAAATGGCGGACCTGGAATATGGCGTCGCTTCAGCCACTCTATGTAGTATATTCTAGCTTGTTGCCTATTTCTCATGCGATAAAACAACATGGAAACATTCCTGACACGTGTCACGTTCTTGTCCGGTGATTTTAGTATTTGTTCATTAAATATACCGATATTTATTAATAAATAACTATGCGTTCATCTCAGCTCCTGTTTACATCCGGGAGTTCACTCTCTCGCCTTCGATCTCGTAGGCGAGATCACTATGATTTACAATTATTATTAAAACAATTATATAAATATCGTTTCTCGTTTAAGATGTAAAAAAATAACTTTCTTCTTCCGGAAAATAACAATTGAATTACTCGTTCACTACAAATAAATCTCGTGACCGTGTCGTTACGATAGTTAGTCATTTTAATCTCGTGACCATGACGCAACAATTTTTCCATTCTCGTGACTGTGATGTAACTCCGGTTTATTTGTTTTGCAGCTGATTGGCTGACTGGGAAAATTGTGATCATCTCATTGGTTATCGAAGTAAACATTTATCGTCTGCCTCATAAAATTGTCAAAGGCGGAATATTTGGTCGCCATTTTCTCTCTCCAGTTATTAGTGACATTGTAAACGTCAAAATGCCCGTCTGTGGTGGAATCGATCCAAATGTCAAACCGGCCGACGATACTGTTAAAGGTATTATTGAAAAGGTTTGTGTCGTTTAATATTTGATTTTTGCATATTTTATGCTTTATATATTTTGTTTAATTAGAAATTATTCGGCAGAAGTTACTTTTAGTTGCTTTCTACACACACCCAATTAATGTAACCTATGCAGAGAATGAAGTAAGATTGCAGATGTGAATGATGCTATTGGGACCTTAACAGAGCTGTACTGTATGCCCATAGGAGCTAAAAAGTCAAAGGAACCATACTTCTACATACGACACCTTGCATTTAGCCCAGGTGACAATGCCAGCTATGACTATTCGTGGAATACTTGATGTTATATAGTTTTAGCAGAGTGGGAGCTTGCCCAACTCTGCTAAAATGCAGAGCTGAGATGCAAGTGATAGCAAGCACCAAAGCACTTGACTGTGTGGAGCATCAATTGAGGCTTACTATTGCTTGCCTTGATTGATGTTGTGCATGGAGAATAGGCAGTAGTACTGGTACATGGTAAAAACTGACTTGGAGGCAAATATGAAGAGTTGCATGTATGGGTATGGTTTCTTTTTGACTTTTTTGCTCATACAGGAGGAGGTGGGAAACCCCTCATTCAGAGTTTGTATTTTATCCACAAGGTGTGTCTTTGAATTAAGGCTTGTATTTGCTGCAAATAGAAAATAGCTTGAATTTAGATCTAATGTGAGTAGTGTTTCCACCTTTTCAAAACCGCTGACCTGGACAGCGGGTGAGTTTGTTCGAACAGAAGTTCCTGACGCATGCGCAATGTCAATTTGCAATGCGAAGAATAACGTGCAGTGCATGCCAGTTCTAAATCAGTTACAGTTAGGGACTAGGGAGACTTGGGTAGGAGTAACATAAGTAACTAAATTAAGAAAAAACAACTACAGATGACTTAGCTCTATTGGATATTGGATTTTGCATGTATGAATAGAAGTCGAACAAGCAAAAAAAGAAGAAAAAAAAAAGGTCAACAGGTTGCTCATGTTATTCCCGGACAAATTTTGTAGTTCATCCAGACAGTGAGTCGATTCCCGGACTGTCCGGGTGAAAACTGGATGGGTGGTAATACTAAATGTGAGTGAGTAGAAGTTTTAAGTTATTCCTTTATACAAATTACAGTGATACCTCAGTTTTTGCCGATGATTCGTCTGAAAACAATTGGCAAAATCTGAAATTGACAAAAACCAAGGCAATTATTTCCATGTGAATCAATGTAAATCCAATTAATTGATTTTAGACACTCCAAAATACATACCAAAAACACATTTTATAGAGAATAAAGAGCTGTCCTTCAAAGGGCTGCTGGCTCTGGAAACTTTCTTTGGTCCTATGAGGGAACAGAAAGGAAAGGGAAGTAATGGAATTGTTTGGCTAGAGACTCAGAGTAATAATGCTCACACAATGAGAAACATCATCACACTAAGCAGGAAAACACGTGAGTCGCCCTTTGTTTTTGCAAAATTAGCAGTGAGGTCATGTGGGCATGCCAACGAAAACTGAGAAATTTTTTGCAGAAAAAATCAATGATAACCGAAGTCAACGAAAACTGAGGTATTACTGTTCTTTAAAATAACTTCTGCAACACAAATCTTGTATGAAAGTCTAGCAAGTAATTGCAGACTAAGAAATGTAATATCATTCAGCATTCAAGGATTACCAATTTATTACAAGTAAAAGTTTCACAGGATGTTTCAGATCTTGTCATGTGTCAACATAGAGCAAATAACTGAATCAAAGTCCAGTGGTCTGTCTAGGGGGAAAACAACTAAGTAAACGAGCTAATGACCCAGTCCATTTTATACAAATTACTCTAGTTCAGCATAAGACTGGCAAAAAAGTCCTAGGAAATTACACTAAATTATATTATTTAAATTGCCAGCTGAATGGACAAGGCAGTTAAGTTGTCAGCCCCAGATTCCGAAGAATATGGAATTGAATCCGAACAATGCCAAGCATCAGTCCAATATTGGTTTCGTTGTGAAAATGTACGGTCAGAGTTAGGATCAGTTGTTTTAAAAATTACAAAATGTATATCATGGAAAGCCAAATTTCAATTTGCCTGGGTCATTTCATGATAATCCATGTCAGATGAATTGGAGCCAGTTATTTTAAAATTGCAAATAATAGACTAAATTTGCCACGAGCCTGACATCTGTTTGTATGAGCCATGGTGGCTTACAGTCTAAATATGACTTGTTTTTAATTTGATACAATAGCCAGATAGACTACTTGTATTTTGTTCATTAATTAATTTGTCTCAGGTAAAATATATTAAAATAAGGAATGGCCATTAAGCAACTGTTGTAGCTAATACATGACATCTAGATACTCTCCTAAAATTTAGCAATATGTAATAATTTGCTTTGGTACATACAGAATTTTTAGTTTTAGTTTACTATTTCACAACCTTATCAGAGATTGCTTCAGTGATTTCCAGTCTAGATTCTGCCCAGATTAACATAGAAAATAAATAAAAATGTATGGTTTTAGGTGAAGCATGTAATATTTAAAATTTGAATAAAAGCTTCTTTAAAATTACTTTTACAGATGATGATTTGTTATCATTTAAAATATTTTACTGATAAATAAAATATTTTGGTTATCAGTTAAGACATTTCAAAATACAAGAATATGAATATTTTTCTACAAATTTAGTCAGTCAGTTTGTAATGACATCAGCAGTATACTTTAAACAGTGGATAAAGTTGAAAAATGTTGATATTTATAGATAAGGTTCGGCAGAGAGTAAGAATGCTTACATCATTATATTAACTACAATGACTAATTCAACTTTGTCAGTTCATAATTCTCCTCACCTGTTATGTTAGGAATTTTGATAAATTTTTAGATTAACAAAATATTTAATGTAAACTGTATATTATCTTAGAAGAGTCTAGTATTAGATTATCTGAAAATTAAATCCCAATGACAATAATGATATGATGATGTTAATGATCATTAATCAGAAGTTCATATAAAAATGTAATATGCTATACAGAATAAGATAATTTTTGAGTCAATAAACTGAAGTGCATCTTAAGTGATTTTAAAATAGGTGAAAGTAAAGTACAGTCAATCCCCCCCATAACACTGTTGATAATTCCATTTTATATGAATTCCATGTTGTACGAGTCATTTAGATTTTACAAATACGTGAGCCGTTCACAGCCCAGCACACGTATTTATAAAATCTAAGTGACTCATACAACATGGAATTCATATAAAACAGGATTATCAATAGTGTTATAGGTGGGTCAACTGTATATTGGAAGTAAAAGGCATATGTTATGAAACATGAAGTGGAGATAATGCATCAAAAAACATCCTAGAAGATTAATATCTATTAATTAGTAATGATTGTCTAATATTTTGGTTTTGAACTGGTGTTCCAAGGTTCAGTATTACTTAGAGTAGACACTTGTTAATTTGAATTTCCTTTCAGTTCAGAATGGATGCTAGTCTGTCTGATTCCTGTTTAAATCAACTTAAAATTCTTTAGTTAATTCAAATTTGATTGTGTTGTCTTCTCAAACATAAAAAACTGGCACACTTAAACTGGAACTATATAATAAACAACTACTTGACACCTAAATGTAAATTCCAGCATATAATGAACAAAGAATGTTTAATGTTCAAATGTTTTCGATCATCTTTCAGAGGCTATCATCAGGAATAACTGCAAGAAAAACACAAAAAACAGTTCTACCCTTTGAAAATTTTTTAACTATCAAACTTCTGTTTGTGTTGTCTGCTGTTTATTCAAATTAATGGTGCATGTTAATAGATAAACATCATTTTTTCACTTTTGAAATTTAAAGATCAAATTTAAAATTAATAAATACAGTATTTCAAATCTATTGGTGTACAATTAGGAAGGTTTATAGGGTTGCTCCCAATGGTTATTTTTTCTTTATTCCATTAAATGCAATACTGTACCTTTTTTTGCTTTGTATTTTTCAATGATTAAACATTACACTGTTTGTCATATGGTGTTAATTAATGTGTTGTCAAAATCATTTCTTTGTTCTGTAGCATCCAGAAATGGTTTCCTTTTTAATTTCAATTGTTTGGGCTGTCCTTCTGAGTTTGAATTAACGAGAATCTACTGTATTTGAATCCTTAATCTATAGATTAGAATTATAAGAGATTGGGAACAATACATATTTGATTGGTTATTATAAAGTAAGCAATTCATTTTATTTAATAGTTCAGCAAAGCCAGACAGCTATTCTGTATGGGCAAATATATAAATTAGGAATCTTTCCTGATTGATAAAGACTAAAATCTGATTGTTATTTAACTAAACAAAAGAAATGGAGAGATATGTATGGTTAAAATAATGTAGTAAAAAAAAATTATTTATGTGTAAATAAGTTAATCAACAGTAAATACAATAAAAAAAAATATATATATTTTAATTTCTATCCTGACAGTAATCTAAAATGAATAACCAGAAGAATCAGAATACTATAAAACAAAACCCTAGACTTCTAGCAATGCAGTGTTTTAATATCACATTAACATTTTCAATCGTCAGATGAAATTAGTTGATTGAAAATGTTAGTGTGGTGCATTGCTGGAAGTCTAAGGTGTTTTATTGTAATATGAAAGTTTTCCAGATGACAAGAGACAGTTAAAAGAATCTGAGAGGAAAATGTCTGTTGGTTGAGTATGGTTTTCTGAAGGAAGGAACTGTCAAATAGGTTTAAAAAAAAATAGAAAGTAAAAAGGGAAGTTAATGAAAACAAAACTAAAATTAGAATTTTTTTAGATTTTGGATATGTATTAACAGATAATTTTCTTTTTTTCCTAAATACAAAATAGTTTTTTAAACACTTGTTTAGAATATTATAATTTTTTAAAGTTTAATTCTTTTGATTTAAATTATTATATATATGTTTTTACTGATATATATTTCACAAGATTCTATAATAAATATGAAAAACAAAAAATTTGCAAGGTGCTTTCAAATAGGTCTGTTATACAATTGAATGATGTTAAATTTTTCATTGTGTAAGTTTGACAACATTCTATTGCATAATAGAATTAAGAAAATCTTTAAAGTATTCAAAATTTTCATGTAGAGAGTGTTTTTTATGTTATATTATATGTTTATAATAAAATATGAATAATTTAGAAATTTATATTTATAAATTTCTAATTCTGTATTAATTTTCTGTTTATAAATAATTCTAATATGATTATTATCAGGTGAAAGAAGAAATACAAACAAAAATTGGAAGAGTATTTGAAAAATTCGAAGCAGTTTCATATACAACTCAACTAGTGAATGGAGTAAATTATTTTGTTAAGGTAAATAGTGTTTGTCTTAAATTACTATGAATCATAAAGAACAAAATTATATTTTAAAAGTATTGCCACCTAAATTATACATTTTTTAAATTATTAATAAATTTGTTTATTTATTACTTAGTTTAGTTTTCATAGTTTAATTTTATCAAAAGATAGTTTTCCTAGTAGTAATACCACATCAAATTTAAGTGAACATTAGTTGGAAGTATTATTAAAATGTTTAAGGTTTTTGAAAATTGTAAAGGAAAGGCAAGAGAGAGAGAAGAGGGAATAAAATGCTGAATTTTGTCAATTATTCAGTCTTTATAATTTTGATTAAATTCTGTTATAATAATTGACAAGAAAATTAACTTCATTTTATTAAGTAGACATTGATATTTGCATTAATTTGTAATGTTATACATTTAATGATTAAAAGTTATATACAGTATATTTGATGATAACAGGTGAAAATCTTGAAATAATTATATTGAAATGCATTTTATAAGTACTGTCTGTTATGATTTAGTTTTCTTTCAAGTTTCAAACAAATATATAAAAAACTTGTGTTAAGAAATTATTAAGGAACATCCAAAAGATTGAGATAATCTTAATCATGCTGTCTACATTTAGAGATAATCTGATGATAAAATGTGAGAGACAGTCAACAATCTTAATGAAATTTAATCAAAGTTAATTTTTAAAATAAAATAAAAATGCATTACAGTAGAACCTCGAAAACTCGGCCTAATGTGGACCGAAGGGTGGCCGAGTTTGTGAAAATGCCGGGTTATCGGGAATGGGGTTAAAAAAATTAAGTACGAGTGTTTCCTCAGAAAATACTGTACTGTACTTGTATGTACTGTTTACTTGAGAATATAACAGAGAATAAACTGCCCAAATACCCTTAAACAAAGGAAAAGTACGTCCTTTATGAAGGCATAGAGCCTTTACTACATGAAAATGAAAATTAATGAATACACTGTGTACAGTAATTTACCTGATAAGACAGACCTCA